CGCTATAAGTTACGATCATAATTATGTTGTTCTTTTCAGCTAGATAGCGTGTTCTCCTGTACGAGTTGTTATTTATATCTGTTATGTAACTCTGAGTTAAGTCCGGCCCGGACCCTGGGACGGGTCTTCCAGCCCTTCAATTACTGCCTTCAATATTACCTTGTTAGTCTAACCCAATAATTAAAACTCACTGAATGATACCGTGATAATATTGATTATCAAGGTAAACAGGACCGAGAAGTTGCATTTTCTGTTGTTGACATTGTGTGAGGGTCAGTGTTTTGAATGTGGTTTAACAGGTTAATGTCGGAGGAGTATTAGTCTCCATGGTTTGTATATTTTCAGTGACTTCACGTGAAGTTAGTAATTTTGCAGTGAATTTACGTGAAGTAAGCAACTTTAATTTAATATTTTGAATATATGAAATAAAAACGAAATCTACACACACACACTGGCCACCTGGAGAGACCAGTCTTCATGATTCATCACAGACCACCTCAGGTACCTTCAAGGGGGGGAGGGGGGGGGAAGGCGTGGCTTTCATGCTGGTGAAGGGCTCTTGATCCAAGCAATTCGGAGCTGCCCTCCACTTCCTCGGATCAAACCTAATTTCTTCCCATTCCCCAGGCGCTAAATGCCTTAAATACACAGATTACAGTCTACCACTCAAGTGGTTATCATAACTACCACTTCACACCACCCAGACTACCACTCAAGTGCTTACCATAACTACCTTTTCACACCACTCAGACTACCACTCAAGTGGTTACCATAACTACCCACCCCTCCACCCCATTCTTGACTAACATTAGCATTCAGAGCTGGTCTAGGGAGGTCAGAGGCCAGGTCAAAGATCGTGGGTAGTCCACCACGCTCCACTGACTAGCCCCTAGCCCCCGTACCTTCCCAGCCTCCTACTATCCCATACCTTCCAAACCACTTCTTAATGAGAATTTACCAGATAAGACGTCAGCCCCTCCGAGGGAGAATTCACTTTCTTGGGTTCTGGTAACGGTGACTGGGGGTTCTTGAGCTCTGGTAACTGTGACCGGGGTTTCTTGGGAATAGTGGTTATGTGTTATTAAGAACACGGGCACAGTCTAGTGGCCTGTACACCTGGTTCGAACACGATAAACAAGGTAGAAACGAGGACTAAGTAAAAGGCATCAGAGTAAATACTTATATATCCTTCAAGCAGCAAGCAATGTATGTACAGTATCTACAGAGGATATGTACAATAAGGAAATGCAAACAAGAGTCACGGTGAGAACCGTAGTGACCAGACTAGCAGGTTAGGCTGCCATTGTTGATTCACGAGTGTAGTACATCGCTTTACAACTTTGGTGGACTTTCTTGTCATTGGCTGGTTGAAGCAAGGTGTTAGCATAACGAGGGTGCCCATACTTGTTATACTCTTAGCATCTGGTTCACTGGTCGGGAGGCATGACTATATGGGTGTGTGACATGCGCCGAATAAAGTGTAACATACTCTTAGCATGCCACGTGTATACATAGCTTTATCGCAAGCGTACATGCATGCACAACCATGTGAACCTCAAAAAAGCAGACACACATACACGAGAAATAATGTTTATATTTGTCATCCCACCTTTCTCTCTCTCCATTTCTTTTTCTCATTTCCTTGTTCATTCCCTCTTCCATTCACTTCCTCCCACCTCCCTCCATGTGTTCTAAACGCCTACCCTCCTCCGTAATCTCTCCCATGCTGTGTCTTTCTCCCACATTAACTTGCCATGGTGAGGCTCACTAGGTAACATCTTGTGTTCTCTCTTTCAGGCCATGAACGGATTCATCATGATGTTGACCCAGGCAGGCAAGCTGCTCTACATCTCTGACAACGCTGCAGAGTACCTCGGTCACTCTATGGTGAGTTTGTGTGTGTGTGTGTGTGTGTGTGTGTGTGTGTGTGTGTGTGTACTCACCTAGTTGTACTCACCTAGTTGAGGTTGCGGGGGTCGAGTCCGAGCTCCTGGCCCCCGCCTCTTCACTGATCGCTACTAGGTCACTCTCCCTGAACCGTGAGCTTTATCATACCTCTGCTTAAAGCTATGTATGGATCCTGCCTCCACTACATCGCTTCCCAAACTATTCCACTTACTGACTACTCTGTGGCTTGAAGAAATACTTCCTAACATCCCTGTGATTCATCTGTGTCTTCAACTTCCAACTGTGTCCCCTTGTTCTGTGTCCAATCTCTGGAACATCCTGTCTTTGTCCACCTTGTCAATTCCTCTCAGTATTTTGTATGTCGTTATCATGTCCCCCCCTATCTCTCCTGTCCTCCAGTGTCGTCAGGTTGATTTCCCTTAACCTCTCCTCGTAGGACATACCTCTTAGCTCTGGGACTAGTCTTGTTGCAAACCTTTGCACTTTCTCTAGTTTCTTTACGTGCTTGGCTAGGTGTGGGTTCCAAACTGGTGCCGCATACTCCAATATGGGCCTAACGTACACGGTGTACAGGGTCCTGAACGATTCCTTATTAAGATGTCGGAATGCTGTTCTGAGGTTTGCTAGGCGCCCATATGCTGCAGCAGTTATTTGATTGATGTGCGCTTCAGGAGATGTGCCTGGTGTTATACTCACCCCAAGATCTTTTTCCTTGAGTGAGGTTTGTAGTCTCTGGCCCCCTAGACTGTACTCCGTCTGCGGTCTTCTTTGCCTTCCCCAATCTTCATGACTTTGCACTTGGTGGGACTGAACTCCAGGAGCCAATTGCTGGACCAGGTCTGCAGCCTGTCCAGATCCCTTTGTAGTTCTGCCTGGTCTTCGATCGAGTGAATTCTTCTCATCAACTTCACGTCATCTGCAAACAGGGACACCTCAGAGTCTATTCCTTCCGTCATGTCGTTCACAAATACCAGAAACAGCACTGGTCCTAGGACTGACCCCTGTGGGACCCCGCTGGTCACAGGTGCCCACTCTGACACCTCGCCACGTACCATGACTCGCTGCTGTCTTCCTGACAAGTATTCCCTGATCCATTGTAGTGCCTTCCCTGTTATCCCTGCTTGGTCCTCCAGTTTTTGCACCAATCTCTTGTGTGGAACTGTGTCAAACGCCTTCTTGCAGTCCAAGAATATGCAATCCACCCACCCCTCTCTCTCTTGTCTTACTGCTGTCACCATGTCATAGAACTCCAGTAGGTTTGTGACACAGGATTTCCGTCCCTGAAACCATGTTGGCTGCTGTTGATGAGATCATTCCTTTCTAGGTGTTCCACCACTCTTCTCCTGATAATCTTCTCCATGATTTTGCATACTATACATGTCAGTGACACTGGTCTGTAGTTTAATGTTTCATGTCTGTCTCCTTTTTTAAAGATTGGGACTACATTTGCTGTCTTCCATGCCTCAGGCAATCTCCCTGTTTCGATAGATGTATTGAATATTGTTGTTAGGGGTACACATAGCCCTCTGCTCCTCTCTCAATACCCATGGGGAGATGTTATCTGGCCCCATTTGCCTTTGAGGTATCTAGCTCACTCAGAAGCCTCTTCACTTCTTCCTCGGTTGTGTGCACTGTGTCCAGCACATGGTGGTGTGCCCCACCTCTCCGTCTTTCTGGAGCCCCTTCTGTCTCCTCTGTGAACACTTCTTTGAATCTCTTGTTGAGTTCCTCACATACTTCACGGTCATTTCTTGTTGTCTCTCCTCCTTCCTTCCTTAGCCTGATTACCTGGTCCTTGACTGTTGTTTTCCTCCTGATGTGGCTGTACAACAGTTTCGGGTCAGATTTGGCTTTCGCTGCTATGTCATTTTCATATTGTCTTTGGGCCTCCCTTCTTATCTGTGCATATTCGTTTCTGGCTCTACGACTCCTCTCCTTATTCTCCTGGGTCCTTTGCCTTCTATATTTCTTCCATTCCCTAGCACACTTGGTTTTTGCCTCCCTGCACCTTTGGGTAAACCATGGGCTCATCCTGGCTTTTTCATTATTCCTGTTACCCTTGGGTACAAACCTCTCCTCAGCCTCCTTGCATTTTGTTGCTACATATTCCATCATCTCATTAACTGGCTTCCCTGCCAGTTCTCTATCCCACTGAACCCCGTTCAGGAAGTTCCTCATTCCTGTGTAGTCCCCTTTCTTGTAGTTTGGCTTCATTCGTCCTGGCCTTCCTCCTTCTCCCTCCACTTGTAGCTCTACTGTGTATTCGAAGCTTAAAACCACATGGTCACTGGCCCCAAGGGGTCTTTCATATGTGATGTCCTCGATATCTGCACTACTCAAGGTGAATACTAAGTCTAGCCTTGCTGATTCATCCTCTCCTCTCTCTCTTGTAGTGTCCCTTACGTGTTGGTACATGAAGTTTTCCAGTACCACCTCCATCATCTTAGCCCTCCATGTATCTTGGCCCCCATGCGGGTCCAAGTTCTCCCAATCGATCTCCTTGTGGTTAAAGTCACCCATGATCAGGAGCTTTGCCCTGCATGCATGAGCTCTTCTGGCCACTGTAGCCAGTGTGTCAACCATCGCTCTATTGCTCTCGTCGTACTCTTGCTTTGGCCTCCTGCTGTTCTTTGGTGGGTTATACATCACTGCTATGTGTGTGGTGTGTGTTAGTGTTAATATAGCAGCAAGCAGACTAGAGCTAAGTCTCTGCCTATAGTTTCAGCAGTATAATTAATCTGTGCTGGTGTGTTTGTGTCAGGAGGACTTGTTGATTCACGGAGACAGCGTGTACGACATTATAGACAAGCAGGATCACGCAGCAGTACAAGCAGAGCTGGTGAGGGCTGGACACACTTCCCAACACCACGAAGAAGATAGACTCTTCCTGTGTCGCATGAACGTATCAAGGAACGCCAGAAGACAAATGAGGTTCGGTGATCAGAAGGTAAGAACATTCTCTGAACGTTCGTTAAATAGGGGGTAATAGTAAGACCACACTAGTGGGAATAGCAAGATCACACTAGTGGGAATAACAAGGTCACACTAGTGGGAATAGCTAGATCACACTAGGTGGGAATAGCAAGATCACACTAGTGGGAATAGCTAGATCACATTAGGTGGGAACAGCAAGATCACAGTAGTGGGAATAACAAGATCACACTAGTGGGAATAGCTAGATCACACTAGTGGGAATACAAGATCACACTAGTGGGAATAACAAGGTCACACTAGTGGGAATAGCTAGACACATATAGCGATCCATATGGAAGCTAATACATAGGTACAGCAAATTTGTGGGATCGTCACACTAGTGGTAACAAGGTCACTAGTGGAATAGCAATATTTTATGGAACTAATCAAAAGCTTGTGGGTTCGTCAAGTCAGGTCAGTCATATGAGCACATGTGGAGCTGGAATTTGCAAGAACTCAAATTGTATAACTGCAGTGATGTTGCCGGTCTTGTTTTCAGTGTACTGTAAACCCTACAGGAGGTACTGGTGGCTGTAACACACAGGTGGTGCTGGTGGCTGTAACACGCAGGTGGTGCTGGTGGCTGTAATACACACAGGTGGTGTTGGTGGCTGTAACACACACAGATAATGCTGGTGGCTGTAACACACATAGGTGGTGCTGGTGGCTGTAACACACACAGATGATGCTGGTGGCTGTAACACAGATGATGCTGGTGGCTGTAACACACACAGATGATGCTGGTGGCTGTAACACAGATGATGTTGGTGGCTGTAACACACACAGATGATGCTGGTGGCTGTAACACATACAGATGATGCTGGTGGATGTAACACACACAGGTGGTGCTGGTGGTTGTAGCACACACAGGTGGTGCTGGTGGCTGTAACACACAGGTTGTGCTGGTGGCTGTAACACACACAGGTGGTGTTGGTGGCTATAACACACACAGGTGATGCTGGTGGCTGTAACACACACAGGTGATGCTGGTGGCTGTAACACACACAGGTGGTGCTGGTGGCTGTAACACATACACACACAGGTGGTGTTGGTGGCTGTAACACACACAGATGGCGTTGGGGGCTGTAACACACACAGGTAGTGTTGGTGGCTGTTAAACACACAGATAATGCTGGTGGCTGTAACACACATACATGATGCTGGTGACTGTAACACAAACAGATGATGCTGGTGGCTGTAACACACACAGGTGGTGCTGGTGGCTGTAACACACAGATGATGTTGGTGGCTGTAACACACACACATGATGCTGGTGACTGTAACACAAACAGATGATGCTGGTGGCTGTAACACACACAGGTGGTGCTGGTGGCTGTAACACACACAGGCGGTGCTGGTAGCTGTAACACTAATATTATAATCACTCCCACACACAGGTGGTGCTGGTAGCTGGACATTACCTGTCTTACTTACCCTTGTGTTCGAGGAATGAACCAGTGTTCCTGGCTCACTGTACACCCATCGCTATGCCAGAGACCAGAGAAAGTGTCGTTCAAGGTGCCACTAACGTCTTCACCTCCGTCCACACACTCGACATGAAGTTCATCAATCTTGACAGAAAGTGAGTACCATTTTGTCTTTCTTCTCTCATCTCTCCTTCCTCACTGTTTCCAGACTAGACGGAAAGCAAGTACATTTGTCTCTCTTTCTCTCTCCTGACATCTCTCCTTCCTTATTGTCTCCAGACTAGACAGAAAGCGAGTACCTTTGTCTCTCTCTCCCGTCATCTCTCCTTTCTTACTGCATCCAGACTAGACAGAAAGTGTCCGTTTATCTTGCAGTTTCCTTGTGGTCTAGACGGTGTCTCCTGTCATGTCTCACTCCATACTAGACAGCAAATGAGTGACCTGTGTACATCTCTCACACCTTAATGCTCGTGGCGTAGATGGTTGCTGTGACACCATGTACAGGCGAGGTGTGACCATTCAGTGAGCAGCGCTCAGCACCACTCTGCCAACCACAGCTTCAAGATTTATGACAACATGCAGCCCACGGTGTCTTTTCTGCTTCAATGTGGATATGGAGCGCCTATGCAAATGTTCGCTTTGTCCTGTAAATGACCTGAAACCTTTCACCTTAGCTGCCGGGGCAGGAAACGAGAGAGAGAGAGAGAGAGAGAGAGAGAGAGAGAGAGAGAGAGAGAGAGAGAGAGAGAGAGAGAGAGAGAGAGAGAGAGAGAGAGAGAGAGATGTATGAGAGATACAAGGGCACCCCCTTCCCACTAGGACATCATCCAGGGTCATAACTTCACCTCAACAAAGTGTTTCATGCGGATTTGGCTCCGTTGTGTGTGTGTGTGTATGTGTGTGTGTGTGTGTGTGTGTGTGTGTGTGTGTGTGTGTGTGTGTGTGTGTGTGTATGTGTGTGTGTGTGTGTGTGTGTGTGTGTGTGTGTGTGTGTGTGTGTCAGTGGTGTGCATCAGTAAGACTACCAAGAAATGAGACCCAAACATACAACACAGAGGTGAATAAATCACAGTAACAAAGGAAGAAGCAGAGGAAGAGCGGCTGAAAGAAAGGAACTGTGTGACCCCATAGCGAGAATTACAAACAAGCAGCTACACAACTGAAGCATATTTGAAAAGCTACAAAGTTGATCTCAACGTACGAAAAAAAAAGCTGCGACACAAATGCAGGGTAATGAGAACCACTGCTGACAACGTTTCGCCCACCCTGTGGACTTTTTCCAAGCCACAAACATGAAAAAAAAAGTTTCATGGAAAAGCTTCTCTGTGACTTGAGGAAAAGCCCACTGCATGGGCGAAACGTTGTCATTAAAGGATCTCACTATACTGCAGTGTCTTTTTTTTTTCATTTTTTCTATAGAAAAGAGAGAGAGAGAGAGAGAGAGAGAGAGAGAGAGAGAGAGAGAGAGAGAGAGAGAGAGAGAGAGAGAGAGAGAGAGAGAGAGAGAGAAAACAGTAAACAACGAGCCATTTACTACTGACCTGACGCACTACTTACGATAATAGTGGAGAACATCACTAGAAAGTAACGAGTACAACGCTTGGCCAACGCTTTTATGTCTGTTATCTGATGTCTGTTGTCTGATATCTTAATGTCTGCTGTCTGATGTCTTTGTTGTCTGATACCTTTATGTCTGCTGTCTGATGTCTTTATGTCTGCTGTCTGATGTCTTTATGTCTGCTGTCTGATGTCTTTATATTTGCTCTGATATCTTTATGTCTGCTGTCTGATGTCTTTATGTCTGTTGTCTGATGCCTTTACGTCTGTTGTCTGATGTCTTTATGTCTGGTGTCTTTATGTATGTTGTCTGTTATCTGATGTCTTTGTCTGTTGTCTGATGTCTTTATGTTTGATGTCTTTATGTCTGTTGTCTGATGTCTTTCGCCCTGCCAGCAGGCTTCTTCATTCGCAAGAGAGAGAAGACAGCAGAAGCCGTGGAGACACCAGGCGATCAGTCCCACAACCTACTTATTACTTTTCCGTAAAATTAATATAGAAAAGAGCAACAGGGAAGAACAGGAGTTAGTAACAGGAAAGGTGTCCAGCTGGAAACAGGAATACCCTGAAAACAGAAAACAGTGTAAGGAGAGGAGGAGGTATGAGAGCGGGCGTGGGTGACGAGTGGAGTCCCTCAAGGATTAGTGCTTGGAACCCCCTCAACTTTCCAGTATACAATGAAACAAAACTGGCGAATAAGAGACACGAGAAACAGCTGAGCATCGATGTTAGGAAGACGTTTCGCCAACTGGTGGCTAAAGGCCACTGTTTGGCGAAATGTGTCTTCATAAGGAAGATTCCCAGTGTCGGACATGTGTCTAGTTTATCAGCTTGTGGGTACTCTGTACCATGAATGTGAGATGTAACTTTATTTACTCTCACCTTGTCTACTGTTCTCTCTCTCTCTCTCTCTCTCTCTCTCTCTCTCTCTCTCTCTCTCTCTCTCTCTCTCTCTCTCTCTCTCTCTCTCTCTCTCTCTCTCTCTCTCTCTCCTCCACTCTTCCATTCCCCTTCCCATTCCCCTTTACGTCTACATTAGCATAGTTATTGTTTCTTAGTTATGGTGGTGCTTAACACAGAGATGAATTATGATGGAGGGAGTGATGGACGCTCAGGCCACCAGATACTCCATGGGAAAAGATCTTATCTCGTCCTAATTTACATACTGTGCATCTTCACTGAGAGAGAGCGAGAGAGAGAGGGAGAGAGAGAGAGAGAGAGAGAGTCTTCATACTAACATAAGACTGGATGCTGCTGCGAGGTTAGCTTAGGTAAGGTTTGTCAGGAAACAGAACGAGTGTTTCCTGAGGGGGCTCTTAGTCATGTGATGACCCTGCAGCTGGAGCTTTTGGTCATCTGACCGAAGCCTTCCACTGGCTTACCGCTCCACCCCTTTAAAAATTATGGTTATATTGCTACGAGGTGTTCATATAGCAAATGGGCTATTAAGTAAGTCTGGCTGTTAGTACTAGTGCTTGTGTACTGGTGCTTATTCTGCTGTTATTGGTAGCACTTAGGTATATGTTAGTACTCTAATTTGTGTACTGGTTTGAACTAATGACATTTATTAATTGCGACATGTTTAAAAATGTGTGTGTGTGTGTGTGTGTGTGTGTGTGTGTGTGTGTGTGTGTGTGTGTGTGTGTGTGTGTGTGTGTGTGTGTGTGTGTATGTGTGTGTGTGTGTGTGTGTGTGCATGTGTGTGTGTGTGTGTGTGTGTGTATGTGTGTGTGTGTGTGTGTGTGTGTGTGTGTGTGTGTGTGTGTGTGTGTGTGTGTGTATACTCACCTCTATGTGGCTGCAGGGGTAGATTTACAGCTCCTGGCCCCGCCTCTTCACTGTGTATGTGTTTGTTCCCTCCCTCCTCTCTATCCTTCTCTTCCATTCTTTTGTCTCCTCTCTCCTTCCTTCTCTCTCTTTCTCCATCCTTCTCTCCTTCTCTCTCTCCTTCCTTCTCTCTCTCCTTCCTTCTCTCTCTCCATCCTTCTCTCTCTCCTTCCTTCTCTCTCCTTCCTTCTTTCTCCTTCCTTCTCTCTCCTTCCTTCTCTCTCTCTCTCCATCCTTCTCTCTCTCCTTCTCTCTCTCCTTCCTTCTCTCTCTCCTTCCTTCTCTCTCTCCTTCCTTCTCTCTCTCCTTCCTTCTCTCTCCTCTCAGAGGAGAGCTGATGGGCAGATCATTCAGAGTTAACAATTGAGACATGGAACTGTGGGTTGAGTGCTGCAGTGCCTCCTCATCCTGGGTCACCTTAAACACACCTACACATAAGGCTCATAACATAAAATCGACTCGGATGAAGTGAGACTGAGGATAAAAGACCTTAAAAACTCATATCATAATGCGCAAATTCCCTTCATATGTCCAGAATGTTTAAACATTTAATATGAAAAGGAAGAATATTGCCCTTATGATTTCAGAACATAAGGGTTATATTAATCCAAGAAGCACGGGTCAGTTGTTTGTTAGTGACAAGCACAAAAACAGACCTTAAGCTTATATTACACACGAACTAAATTGACATCAAACGCGGATACGTACGTAATGCTCATTTATAAGAGAGGAAAATATATCTTAAATGCATTGAACACAAGGCTTCATTTCCGTTAAAGTGTGTCTAAACAATGTTTTCTTTGACCACAACCTTGCTGGAACACTTAGGAGAGAAAAGAGTAAAAGAGTCTCTAAATATTTGTACTATAAGACCTAAAGTTATCTGGTGAAGAGTGCTCGTTCAGACTCGCTGGTAATAAGGTGTTGTAACCCTAATGCATCTCTTTAGTAAGATAAATTCTCTTATACTTCACCAAGAGTGTCATATATATGAGGGAAAATGGGAAGACGAGCTCCAGGTGACGTAGACTGATCTATCACTAGTGTGGTCACTACCCGCAGTGTGCTGCTTCCACACTATACACTTTCTGCTGTAAGCAGCACCAGGTCTGCATGTGGTCTGTACACTACATGTGGTCTGTACACTACATGTGATTTGTACACTGCATGTGGTCTGTACACTACATGTGGTCTGTACACTACATGTGGTCTGTACACTACATGTGATTTGTACACTGCATGTGGTCTGTACACTGCATGTGGTCTGTACACTACATGTGGTCTGTACACTACATGTGGTCTGGACACTGTATGTGGTCTGGACACTCTGGATATGGTCTGGGCACTGGATGTGGTCTGAACACTGGAGGTGGTCTGGGCACGATATGGTCTGGACACTGGATGTGGTCACGGAGGGCCCGGGTTCGATTCCCGGCGGGTGTAAACATTTCGACACGTTTCCTTACACCTGTTGTCCTGTTCACCTAGCAGCAAATAGGTACCTGGGTGTTAGTCGACTGGTGTGGGTCGCATCCTGGGGGACAAGATTAAGGACCCCAATGGAAATAAGTTAGACAGTCCTCGATGACGCACTGACTTTCTTGGGTTATCCTGGGTGGCTAACCCTCCAGGGTTAAAAATCCGAACGAAATCTTATCTTATCTTATCTTGTCTGGGCACTGAATGTGGTCTGAACACTGGGGGGTCTGGACACTGGATGTGGTTTGGACACTGGATGTGGTCTGGACACTGAATGTGGTCTGGACACTGAATGTGGTCTGGAGACTGGATGTGATCTGGATATCGTATGGATGTGGTCTGGACATTGGATGTGGTCTGGACACTGGATGTGGTCTGGACATGAATGTTGTCTGGACACTGCATGTGGTCTGGACACTGCTAGAAGTGGTCTGGACACTGCATGTGGTTTGGACACTGGATGTGGTCTGGAGACTGGATGTGGTCTGGAGACTGGATGTGGTCTGGATATCGTCTGGTTGTGGTCTGGACATTGCTGGACGTGGTCTGGACATTAGATGTGGTCTGGACACTGGATGAGGTCTGGACACTGTCTGGATGTGGTCTGGACACTGGATATGGTCTGGACACTGGATGTGGTCTGGACATGAATGTTGTCTGGACACTGCATGTGGTCTGGACACTGCTAAAGGTGGTCTAGACACTGCTAGAGGTGGTCTGGACACTACTAGAGGTGGTCTGGACACTGCCAGAGTTGGTCTGGACATTGCTAGTGGTCTGGATACTGCTAGAGGTGGTCTGGACACTGGATATGGTCTGGACACTGCTAGAGGTTGTCTGGATACTGGATATGGTCTGGACACTGCTAGAGGTGGTCTGGATACTGGATATGATCTGGACACTGCTAGAGGTGGTCTGGATACTGGATATGATCTGGACACTGCTAGAGGTGGTCTGGATACTGGATATGATCTGGACACTGCTAGAGGTGGTCTGGATACTGGATATGATCTGGACACTGCTAGAGGTGGTCTGGATACTGGATATGATCTGGACACTGCTAGAGGTGGTCTGGATACTGGATATGATCTGGACACTGTCTGAAAGTGAAACACTAATTTTTGTCAATAAAATTTTTAGATGCACAAAGCTGTGCGTACACCTGTTCCCCAGTACATGAACACTTCTATCAGCACTCGCGCTTCTAACGCATTTTTTGCCCCCCCCCCCCAAAAAAAAAAAAAAATATCCCCTGGATGCGACCCACAGCAGTCTGGTAACACGCAGACACTCATCTTGAGTGCTAGGTTGGTTGGGACAACAGGATAGGAAAATACACTCGCATACATTTCGCTGGCCAGGTCTAAAAGACGATGGTGTTGTTGGGGTTTATAGGGGCATTGACAGCGTACGCCGTATCGAGCTCTGTGTAAGCACGAGACCTTCCTGGGGTACGTGAACACTCACCTCTGAGCAGAGACCAAGAAAGACGTGTTAATGTAATGAAGGTTTTTTTTTTTTTTTTTTTCGCCGGTATTCTCCCGGCCCGGGTCTTTTCCAAGTAGTGGTGACCCGGCCTTGGCTCCCTATCTGGGGAGTATCTAGAGACCTAAGTCTCCCATGGGAGGAGGTACAAGTACCCCCCTCATCTTTGGGACCAAGTGTCCCTAGGCCTAGCCACAGTCCCCGCCCTCACGGGGCTCGTAGGGAGAAGCTAGGCCTTTAATAAACATCTTGCTCTGGTATATCACCGAGAGGTGTATATCCTCTCATTGTATATATGCAGAAAATTTAATCTGGTGGCAAACAAGCGACATGCAGCCTTAATGACCCTCGTATATTAAATAAATATTGAACTCAGTTAACCAACCAATATTATACCCCTCTTTAAATGAAAAAAAAACTGCATTAATCTCCTCAGACTGTATCAACCATTATACAAAATGTTCCTAATATATAATTACTGCAATACAAAGATAAGTAACACAGGATGTCTACAGTGAGGTGTGTATATCTTTCTGGGTATAATGCTGAGAATTTAATTTAACCCGTATTTTATGTATCAGAGTATTGTTTACTGGTGATGAAGAGGTTATGAGAAACCTTCATGATCATCGTGTGGTTGACAGGCTATAAACTTCATTAACCAACCAACATGTAATATAAACTGTTTTTGTTTTGTTGGTTTATAGTGGTGAGTTCTACCTGGGGTACAGCAGGTCCTCGCTGGCTGGGGTCTCCTGGTACCACCTCATACACCCAGAGAACATGAGGGAAGCACAGACCAAGCACCGCCTCAGTAAGTACCTTATTTACCTCTACCTTCATAATATTCATTGCCTTCCTCTTCACTTCTCTATTCTCTAGTTATCCCATCTCACCTCAATTGTGTTACGTTGTAAATTTGTTCATCTCCGTTGGAAATGACAGCCAATAAAGTGCTAGTCTCTGTCTGGCTGACAGCCAGCACAGCATCAGTTTTAATCTTGGTAGCAGCCAATGTGTCAGCCTCTGTCTTGCTAACAGCCCATAAGATGTCAATTTTCCTCTTGCTGACAGTAAGTGAGACGTCATTCTTAGTAATGATCGGCGTCTTATTACAATAAATTTACGAATTTCTGTGAGTGGAATCATTATATGTATTTTTCTCGATTCTGCAGTTACTACGAGTGAGCAGGACAGGTCCTGTATCCTGCTGGTGCGTCTACAGGCCGCCGGGGGCACCTGGCGTTGGGTACATAGTGTCTTACAGGTTAAGGATGCTGCTGACTCCAGCCAGCAGGCTGGTCAGGGCTCTCACATCACTAGCAACACCAACACCACTAGCACCAGCAGCAGCAGTAACACAAACACAAACAGCAGTAGCTGCAACAGCAGCACGCAACAGCAGCAGCAACAACAGCCAGTGATCGTGGCCACCAACCAGGTTCTAGGAGAGAAGGAAGCAGCAGTGTTAAGAGCTAACTCTTGGCTCTATCACTACTACACTATGCAGTCCAAACTTCAGTACGGCATCGCTTATGATGCCCACGCTCAACGCGTTCATGCTTACTACCCCCAGGTCATGACCTACCAGGTACGTCACGTTCATGTTTACTACCCCCAGGTCATGACCTACCAGGTACGTCACGTTCATGTTTACTACCCCAGGTCATGACCTACCAGGTACGTCACGTTCATGTTTACTATCCCAGGTCATGACCTACCAGGTACGTCACGTTCATGTTACTACCCCAAGTCATGACCTAACAGGTACGTCACGTTCATGTTTACTACCCCCAGGTCATGACCTACCAGGTACGTCACGTTCATGCTTACTACCCCCAGGTCATGGCCTACCAGGTACGTCACGTTCATGCTTACTACCCCCAGGTCATGACCTACCAGGTACGTCACGTTCATGCTTACAACCCCAGGTCATGACCTATCGGTACGTCACGTTCATGCTTACTACCCCCAGGTCATGACCTACCAGGTACGTCACGTTCATGCTTACTACCCCAGGTCATGACCTATCAGGTACGTTCATACTTCCTATTCTCAGGTCATGACCTACCAGGTACATCACGTTCATGCTTACTACCCCCAGGTCATGACCTACCAGGTACGTCACGTTCATGCTTACTACCCCCAGGTCATGACCTATCGGTACGTCACGTTCATGCTTACTACCCCCAGGTCATGACCTACCAGGTACGTCACGTTCATGCTTACTACCCCAGGTCATGACCTATCAGGTACGTTCATACTTCCTATTCTCAGGTCATGACCTACCAGGTTTGTCACGTTCATGCTTACTGTCCGCAGGTCATGACCTACCAGGTACGTCACATTCATATTTCCTATCCTCAGGTCATGACATACCAGGTACGTCACGTTCATGCTTACTATCCCAGGTCATGACCTACCAGGTACGTCACGTTCATACTTCCTATCCTCAGGTCATGACCTACCAAGTACGTCACGTTCATGCTTCCTGTCCTCAGGTCATAACCTATCAGGTATGTTACGTCCATGCCTACTGTCCCCAGGTCATGACCTGTTAGTTATGTTGCTCTCTTGCCACAAATGTTACATCATGTAGTGCAAACAACATGACACTGTCTATGTTGCTTACACTGAGTACGTTCATGCCAGTTATCCCTTACTTGGTGTCGAGAAATAATTTATTTGGAGAGCGGTCATAGAGACGTTCACCTTTAATGCTCTGGAAAGAACCAGAGAGTGGTTGACTCTGCAAGTGCTAGTGGTTCTTATATCTTAACGTAAATGTTCCGCCACAACGAAGCTGTGGATTGATTGTTGTAGTCACTTTTGTGTCTCCCACCTGAACTCATCTGAATACTGCTAGTCTCAGGTGTGTAAAGTTTTCACACACCAGAGAGAGAGAGAGAGAGAGTTATCTTTCAGATGTTCAGATGTGTTTGGGTGAAGTATATTTCACGATGCGAATCGCTATTTTCCTTCGCTGGAAACTAAATGTGTTTTTTTCTCTTTTGCCCACAGACGGATCCGGCCGCCTCCTACATGGCGCCCACAGCTCTTAACGGTACCCACAGCCACAGCCACAGCTCCAGCACCCACACTCCCTACTCCCTGGCGACTCCCTCAGATTACGCCCACCTCCAGCACTACCACCACCACTACTCCGTCCGTCTCCAACACGGCCTTGACTACTCCCGCGACCCAGCTTGGGCTTACTACGACGCCTCCCACGCCACTACCGATACCCAGCCGCCCCTCCACGCCCACACCCACACGCCCAGGTCTAGTAAAAAAACTTCCTCGCCTAATTCGTCCCCACGAAGATCACCAGTAACGCCGCTCTCAACACACGGTGTATCTGAGGGTGGCGGGGTGGCGGTGGCGACGCCCGTGGCGGTGCGGGCGGCACCGGCGGCAGTGCACAAGGGCGCGGCATCCCCGGAACTGGAACAGCACCTGGAGGTACCATGGAAGGCGTCACCGACGCAGGAAGTGCCGGAGTACCCAGAGTACGCCACCTACATCACGCCTCCGTACTCTGCTGCCACACCAACCAAACTTAATGTCTTCACCTTCGACTCGCTGGACCCGAGGGAAGTCAGTCTGGGCAGAGATCAGCGTGTGCCCTCCGTGGAGGCAGGAGAGCTGCCTTCCTGGACCACAGACCCCCCAGCAAGCTGGGTGCCTGGCTACCCCCCTTGCGGCCGCTGCACCCGGCGGCACTGTGAATGCCACCCTCCGTGGCACTCTCCTCCTTACCTAGGAGCAGCGCCGCTGCCGCCATGCATCTCGTGCCAACACTAACAGCCTCCTTGGCCTGCACCAGCTACCACCACCTTCGTCAGCGCCTATGCCATACACCCGTCACTACCTGCTGCTAGCGACGAGCCAGCTGGGAGCCAGATGGTCGAGTGTCTTGTGAACGATGGAACACAGTTATATATCTCTTATTCGGGTGATCATCGCCCTTACGACCTGGTCTCAGACCAGGTCTCCTGGTTAATAGCCTGATCAACCAGGCTGTTGGTGCAGTACACCGGTGCAGGCGTCGCCACCTCGAGTGTGTTCACTAAGTGCTCCATTTTCATCCCCCTATCTCCAGTGCTCTCTCCAGGCTCTCTCACCCCATTTTTCACTACCCATGGAGCTCGTCTCTTACCATTTGTCTGCTTGTTCCAGTAAAGCTTCACTACCTGTGTCTGGCAGTGTTTTACAAGAGCTGTTTCAGAACTCCAAGAGCTGTCAAGGAGCTCTACAGAAGCTGAGAGCTGTTAGGGAGCTCTACAAGAGCTGAGAACTCTTAGAAAGCTCTATAAAAGCTTAGAGTGATAGCAGAATAATCACTCATGTTAATATTTACCCTCGCGTGAGTTTACATGTCTGGACGGTCGCGACGGATTGAACGGTCACTTCCCAGCCGTTGTAACGGATTTAACGGTCATTCCCTTACCGTTGTAACAGATTTAATGGTCACTCCCCGTCAGATCAGTGACCAATATGTGCGTGAAACAAATACAGCCTCTGCAGGGTTAAGTATACAGTATGTGTGTGTGTGTGTGTGTGTGTGGTGTGTGTGTGTGTGTGTGTGTGTGTGTGTCTCTGTGTGTGTCTGTGTGTGTCTGTGTGTGTGTGTCTGTGTGTGCGCGTGTAGTGTGTAGTCGCCTAATTGTGGCTGCAGGGGTCGATTCATAGCTCCTGGCGTGTGTATGTGTGTACGACGTAACTTGTTTACGTAAACTTGCATTTATGTGCGTGTTCCCGGTTCGTATACGTTTTGTGTACACATCATCAGTAGCAGATGGGTCAGTGTTGCAGGTGATCGTGTGTACATACGTCAGTCATGCTCACACCAGCGTCAACAATCCCTTTGCATCTTATGTAAAGTTGGAAGCGCGACGCTGGTATCTTTGGGCTCGGTAACGCGTCATGTCTCTGGCAGCGTTCAGTGCTTGTGGCAGGCGTTGATCAGGGGTAAAGTTAGGTCTAATTTGTACATACTAAGGCTGGTATTGCGGTGTGAGCAGACGAGTCCTCGCCTTTACCTCCCTGCGTGTTCCTGCACTTGTGTTGCATGCAAGTACCATTAGCCGCGTTGATGAAGACATCTCGGAGGTCGCCCTTATAGCTTGGTTGGTTAATGGGAGTTGAAAGCCTATTGGTTATACTTGGATCATTAAGGCTCCAAGTAACCTTTTTACCACCGGCCTAGGCTACTTTAATCCTTAAAATAAGAATTAAAGTATATGTACACTGAGAGAACTACTCCCGTCCGAGGATATACACTGAGAAATACTTCTCATTAGTTGTATACTGAGAAATACACCTTTCATTAGTTGTACACTGAGAAATACACCTCTCATTATAGTTATACACTGAGAAATACACCTCAGTATTCATACACTGAGAGAAATACATCTCTCTTGGTATATATACTATAATTTATACCAGGTATCTACCATCTACAGAATTTTTTCTTCATTATGTAACAATATAATGGTATTGCAAGGATAAATCCTACCATGAAAATGGCATTCCTTGGATAAATGCTACCATGAAAATGGTATTCCTAGGATAAATGCTACCATTAAAATGATATTCCTGGGATGAATGCTTCCATTAAAATGGTATTGCTAGGATAAATCCTACCATGAAAATGGCATTCCTGAGATAAATACTACCATGAAAATGACATTGCTAGGATAAATGCTACCATGAAAATGGTATTCCTAGGATAAATGCTACCATGAAAATGGCATTCCTAGGGGACAAACTCTTACCATTAATATAGCATTCCTAGGCTAAATTCTGCTATTACGTAGGTTAAAATTTCTAAGCGGCTGAATTCCACGAGATGATCAGAGGTCTGGCATTACCATGCTAACACCTGGATCACACGACTTACTGAAATTCCCCAGGACGGGAATTATCTCAGCATTTACGTTGCGTTAACCATGTGTTCAACGAAGGTTACGTGTTCAATGAAGGTTTTGTTTTCTAAGGGAAGCCGACCGATGTGTATAGAGAAAAAGCAATGTGTATGTATATATATTTTTTTTTTTTGACCTGTTTTATGGTTTGTCCAGAGGAATTTATATAAATATGAATATATATATATATATATATGTAGATAGACGGTTGTTATAAGAGTTATAGTATCTAGTGTGCAATCTGGTTAATAGGTTAGTTTACAAAATGTCGATTAATGCAAATACAATTTTATGTCCATTAGTTCTGTGTTTTTTTAATTGTCCCGTGGCAGTGCTTATTTTATTATTATTATTATTATTATTATTATCAGCAGCAATATTATTATCATCGTCATTAATTTTATCAACAGCATTATTATTATTATTATTACTTATTATAATAGTTATTATTATTATAAGAAAGCGCTGAATCCGTAGGGATCATATTGCTCCAGGAGAATGGGAGGTAATGAGGTTTGATCTAAGGGAGAGGAGTATAGTAGCTCCTATTCCCTGGATCAAGAGCCCTTCACCAGCATCAAGCCCCCCTACCCCCCTACCCTGAAGGGACTGATTCATCAATAATATTTTCCAATTCCCTTGATCCTCAACCATCTAACCTCATCCAACATTAGCGTAATAATAATAATAATAATAATAATAATAATAATAATAATAATAATCTACAGTATTAGAGAGAAGCCGGTTACTGACTCAGGTACGGTGTCAAGGCGTCAGTGGCCCTTTAAACCACCAACAAGAGGAAGGCTAGAATTCACAGATACTTGCATAAACATCTTATTTTTATTAGATATATTGACACAAGACCAACTAATCAGACATTTATCACTGCTACGTTTAGCTCGCCAGACGCTTTATCGATGCATCGCCTTAATAAAGCTCCTGGCCAGCGATACGTACCATAAATGTTTCATTAGTTGATCTTTGTGTTCATTTACCTAGCATTGTCGGTAAGTGTACCGGCAGTTACATGCATTTTATTGACAATTTCTCATTCTGGCGCTCCCTATCTGCATTTTTTGAAATGGTAAACTTATAGCAAGTATTTAAGGAATACCCTGCCGATATTTCCCAGCGTGAGGAAGTAGAATTTACCCTAGGTAAAGGAAGAACTTGTATGTAAGCAAGATGTCTGCCTATCCTCATGTTATTGGTAAGCATAAGACAATGCACAGAAGCAAGAAGGAACGCAGCAGTAGGTCTAGTGGCCCATACTAGGCAGGTTTAATTCTCATACATCCACTCATTCACTCGCCCAATCAATATTTAAAGGTACCCAAAGTTCTTGTCTCAATAACGTCACCTGGTAGTTTGTTCCACTCATCCACAACTCTATTGCCAAGTAGTGCTTTCCTGTATCCTATCTAGTATGGAACATTATATTAAATTTAAAAAGAGAGAGGGAAAGTAAGTAGGTGAGAAAGAAAAAATAAAGTGGGTAAAGCAAGAACGAGAGAAAGATGAACAGCACATTGTTTCCCGAATCATCTTGAGATTATTCACATTTAATAAAGGATGTATAAATAATATCTGCATAGTTTAACATTTTGAGTTGCCTTCAGTTGCTTTGATTTACCACAAATATTTGTTTCCTGTTTTATGTCCATCATCTTGTAAAACTTTATTGTTGCTTACATATCTTATATTATCCTTCAGCATTCTACTAAGCTACCACTACTTAAAAATACCTGTGTAAGTTATTAAGTCAAGTTTAATACGATACATCATTACACAGACTCTCCCTTCAGAAGATAAGTGGAGGGTTGCCTTGATGTTGGTGAAAGGCTCTTGACCCTGGGAACTGGAGCTACCCTCCCGTTCCTCGAATCGAACCTGATTACCTCCCATTACCCAGGCACTGAATGATCCCTACGACTTTAGCGCTTCCCTATGAAAATAATAAGTCGACTACAATAAAAAAAAATTCTTGGCTTTTTCGTAATACGCTGATTGACGTAAAAACTGTAACTGTGTGAATATAATTGATTATAGAGCTGGACCGGTCTTAGGTTGGTCTCACTTTGTATATTCATTGAGGTGAGCAATAATCACTCAGTGAAAAGTAATAATATTCTCACTGTTCCTTAATAATGTGAGAAATCAAGCGCTGAGAAATATCACCATTTTTCGCTATGGTTAAATTCCATATTACGAGGTGCATGTCTCTTGTGCATATAAGCCGACTTCACTTAACCTTAATATTAGAGCGTGGGTGAATTCAGCTTCGGTTAATAAAGTTGACGGCTAATACCCCGAGCTGCTTCTCGCACAAGTAATTTATTAAAACTTGTAATGAGACCGTCGAGGTCTTAAGTAATCCAAAAAAGAGCAAATAAGCCGCAAGGGGATTTTTTAAGGTATGAAAACAAACAAATAAATAATATGAAAAGGAAAAAAACGTATCAACTGGACTTTTTTTTGCAGTCATAACGAAATGGAGAGACCATACGAAAAGGAAAGAAATAAGTTTTAACGAGAAAGAAAAATACGAATATTCATACTAACGTACTTCATATATAATACTAACTATGTAAGCAAGTAAATGATTAAGTTAATTTATTTAATAACAAGTACACATAAGTACAATTATCATATATAGTGTAAATTACCCAAGGTGACCCAAAAAAAAAGTCAAAGTGACTTATTTCCATTCTGAAGGAGAAGAACATTTTTAAATATTTCTGATATTATTATTATTATTATAATCAAAAAGGAAAAATATCTCTGATAGGCTTTATATATATATATATATATATATATATATATATATATATATTATATATATATATATATATATATATATATATATATTGAATTAGAGAGGAGTCTGAGAGTAAGATAAGAGGGATAGCGCGTGTGGCCAGCCTCCCAGCAGTCAGGGGTCGCGGTGCTCATGCGTGAGTGGTGATCGGTTACACTCCGAGGGGGCCGCCATCCGCCATCGCTCGTAAAACCACTCACTACTTTGCTGAAACACATTTATGGTCAGCCTCCTTCACCACCTCGAAAATCCAACCTCTGTTACTGCAGGCTTGTGTTATGTTATTCTTTTTTTCGATTTGATAACTAAAAAGCATTTTAAAGGATCAAATGGAACCCTCGGGTAGAAAAAAGAAAGGGAGTGTATGAAAGAATCGAAGGTAAACATCTCTGTTGTGTCAATTAGTGGAATCTGCTAGCATAATCTTCGAGGCAACTCGACTCCGATATGGTCCAGTTTAATGCAATTTATGGGCAGATTGTGAGAGGGTAAGACTGCCAGCCATTCACAGCTCCTCCTCTCAAGTCATTTGGTTGTAATAATGGCTCACACTGTGTATTTTCCTTGCTTGATTTGCTGGTATTGCGCTCCAGCACCTGGGTCTTGTTTTTTTTAATTTTTGGTTGGCTGTTCATGATCCAGCTCGGGTGTGAAGAGCAAATGGTGCTGACAAGTACGGTGAAAGACAATTTGCAAAGCAAGTCTGGGTTCTGCTATCCTTCCACCGTGTTAATGACCTTGGGTTAAGCCTTGATAAACTCACCACCGAGCGAAACGTCGTCAGACTTTATCTGTAGATAGTGCCAGGCTTTTGAAGCCGTGTAGGAATTCAGACCACCATTCCGTTGGTATGACCCTTGGTAATTGACAACAACAGAGTGGTTTGAAGAGACACTTGCCGTTCTACAGTTTGCTTCACACTACCATTTCTAGTTTGCTTACCAGCCGTCCCTCCCGTGTTGCTTCTTGACGTTCTCTTCCGTCATCAGCGGCTTTCCCCCTCCCCTCTTCTGTGAACGTTGATGTGTAGAACACAAGTGTCTCATATAACAGCAATAACAATGATGAAAATTAGACACAGGTGCAACATCTGGATATCTTTATTGTAGACGTTTCGACAACCAGTGGCTTCATCAATACAAATTCAAGGACATAATTGGGAGACTGAGGGACTGATTACCTCATCTTTCTGTATATAGTTCTACTGTCTTCCAGTTATGTCCTAGAATCTGTATTGATAAAGCCACTGGTTGGCGAAACGTCTTCAATAAAGATACCCAGATATTACACGTGTCTAATTTTCATCTTATCGGTACTGTATACCATTCATGTAACAGCAATAAGAATGTACCCTTACCCCCCCCCCCCCCCCGGGTAGATCACTGGCATATCACCTAAATGAATAAAAACTGGGATCGTTTAAATTGATCTCAGCAATCTAAAGAAAAACAAAGAAATCCTGGATATAAATTGTATAAAATACCATCACTCCGGAAAAAAGACACATGCAGTGTAATGCGATCCTTTATTAACTACGTTTCATCCACACAGCTTTATCACAGCTCTACCTGCTCGAGTAGATCTGTGATTTGATAAAGCTCTCTGTGTAGGCGAAACGTAGTAAACGATCGCATGATACTGCATTTATGTCTATTTTTCCAAAGAAATCCTGACTGGTGTCTGCATGACTAAGCAGTCACAAAGGTACATTGATATCACTGAAGGACTTTTGAATTGAAGGACTGTAGTTAGTTTCCCCATTGAATCAAACCTGTTGACCTCCTTTTACCCCGGACCCCTACAGGTGTAACACTGCTATAAATATAATAAACATGTTCCTATCTCACTTTTTGTATGTCCTGAAGAGGGATCCAGTTGGGGGTCGAAATATGCAGACCAACTTTATTTTCTTTGTTTCCGTCTCCATAACAAGCGTTTATTACGCTTGTTGATTATTAATAATAATAATAATAATAAGAAGAAGAAAGAAATGCACCCAATCAGTTAAATAAACCGTATAATCAAATAAGCAGTACTTGCCCTAATACCGATCCTTGCGGCACCTCGCTTGTTACACTTCCCATTCTGACGCCTCTTCCCCGGACAATATCTCTGCTTCCTTCCTCTGAGGTAATCTTTGATGCACGGGAGAGTACGTCTCCTATTATCCCTACCTGCACCTCAGGTTTTTGCCCAGTCTCATGTGGAGTACTGTGCCAGACGCCGTCTTACAGTCTAAGAAAATGCAGTGTACCCAGCCCTCTCTCTCATGTCTTACTTCCGTTACTTTGTACTTTCTTATAGAATTCTAACACGCTGATAAAGCAAAACTGACCCTCGTGTGTGTGTGTGTGTGTGTGTGTGTGTGTGTGTGTGTGTGTGTGTGTGTGAATGAGAGAAAGAGACGCTAGTAGTTGCGGCACTGGCGATGCCGGGAATGTAATGAATGGAATTATTTAAAGAATGCACAA